AACGTCATGATATATGAGTGAAAAGAGTGAAAAAAGATAAAAAAACATCTTTGATTGAAAAAATGTCGAAACTTTCCACTAGAAAAATCTATGATCCGTGGTTTGATCTACCGTCCGTAGATGTCATTCTTGGAATTTGGCTAAATTTTTAGTATCTAAAGTTCAATTCACAAGATCAATCTACGGTGTTATTCATCATCTGTAGATTGACTTCATGAAACTCGGGTTAAAATCAAGTTTCAGGAGTTCATTCACGAGCCCATCTACTATCTTTGGTCTTATTTATAGTGTGTAAATGATATCTGTGAAACTCATATTTTGAATTCATCTAGATATCTAACTCCTCATATTCAGATATGTACGGTTTGATCCTTAATTTAGAATTTTCGAGGTGTTACAGAAAAAAGAAAGAATATTTATAATTCATAGTTTGGGAGAGACGTGGTTTGATTTTTAAGCAAAGATGAGGATGTGAATGATTTTTACCCTTCTATATTTGGTATGCATTTTTATTTTAAGGAAAAGAGTGTAATATACCCCTCAACTTTGTCATTTAGAGCTGATATACCTCTCGTTATGAAAATGGCTCATATATACCCTTACTATTATACAAATGACGTACATATACCATTTTCCTCTAAAAGAAATGAAAAAATTAATTTTAATTTTGTTTTAAATTATTTTTTTATAAAAAATATAATCCATATGGGGTATGATCCTCCTCACACATATTTTTTTGACTTTTTTGTTCCAACGACTAATTTAAATTTATTATTTTGATGGTCAAATTTATTTATGTTTCACTAATTTTCTTGTAAAATTTATTATAGATGCCCCATTTTTTTTACAAATATAAAAACTAAATTACAATATAGCCGCAAAAAAATTAGTTTAAAATTTTTTCTTTACACTAAAGAATGAAAGAAAAAAATAATAAGAAACTCGAATAATGATAATCAACGTAGTCAAAAAATAATTTTTGTATGAAAAAGATTAAAATGTATCTTGAATTTTGCTAGAAGGATCATATATATACCTCCTACATGATTTTTTAAAAAAATTTAAAGTTAAAAAAATAAATTTAAAACTAATTTTTTCACTTATGTTAGATGAATGGTATATGTGAGCTCCTTTTGTAACAATAAGGGTATATATATGAGTCAATTTCATAACGAGGGTATATCAACTTTAAATGGCAAAAATAAGTGGTATATCAGACCCTTTTCCCTATATTTTAAACCATGATATCACATATCTTTTCTTATATAATTATTTAAAATATATTTTTCTACATTAATAATAATTTATTTATTTCAATTACTTTAAAAATGCTATGATAAAATAATCAAATTCAATTATACCTTATACCTTATATTACTTATTGTAAATTTAAACCATCCGAAGTTTAAGGAGATCTATATACTAGTTCTAAAAGAAAAGAGTAGAACAAATATTTAGTTGAAAAACTAATGCAAATAATTCAACTTTATAACTAAAAGCACGTGTCCCGAACTTTAAATGATGGGTAAAACTTTCTTATTTAGCATAATTCAGTGGCAAATTGGACCATTTTTTCTTGTTTTAAAGCAAGTAAAAGAGATATTTTTGAACTATTTCGTTAGTTGGATGACATATTTTAGCTAATAAGGAAAACGTAACGGTAAGTATATTTTTGAGCTAGAAATATAACATAAGGTATAATTAACTCAATTTTTGAATAATTTAGGGATAAACAATTCAACATGTTGATCTGATCCCTACGCTTCTAGCACTAGCAAACTCGATTAAACGAATTATTTGATTAAAATTAAAAAAATTAATCAATCAAAAATCTTTATAAGTAAGTTTAAAAGCCAATAACAAGGGGAAAATCACTTATTATACATTATTTTAATTTAAAAGCACTTTGACTTATATTGCTTTTTGGGTTAACCAAACATATAAATAAGCTTAAAAAATGATTATTATAAATGATTTGACCAACTTATAATTTTTTCTAAATACTATTTTCGAAAATAAAAGAGCAGGTCAACTAGGTTGCTTATCGGATTGATCGGACAGATAATTTTGCTTAACGATTTAGCTTATCGGATATCGACTTTTAAATATATTAATTCGCTAGCCAACCAATAAGATATCGCGCGGTTGGTTTGGTATCAGATTAGTAATTATCGAACGTTTAACGGACGATGTATTGATTCAATCATTTCATGCTTTCATTTTTTACCTTCACTCATCAATATATTGATCTCCCATCAAACAAAATAATTTTTCTAGCACTAATTAAGCTAGTAATTTTGTAGTTATAAATCACAATGAGATCTACATGAAAATCTAAATTTTGAGGGTGCATGAATTTACTGGTACAACAACTTAACATTTTAATGACTAAAATATATTTCAAATATATATATTTTTTATATAAGAAGTGAAGACTCGTACATTATAATCAAGACTAGCTAGCTAGTAGACTAGTAAGAAAATTCAACTCACAAATATGTATCAAGTCATATAAGGAGCGACAAAACATTAAATGAGGCTTTAAGATTAATATTATGTACTTTATCTACCCAAGGGGTAAAAATGTAAGTAAATAATTCTTAACGGTTTATCCAATAAGGAATTTGAGTAATCTGTCACACACCAATAAACCGTCAAGTATAATATATTAATCCGCTCACCAACCATCAATCCAATAACTCAATATAAATTAACCAATAATCTAATTTTGCTTCTAGCTTATCAGTTATGGTTCGATTTTGAATAGCCTTAAGGTCAACAATATAATCTTTATTCGTATCAGGCGTTTATATTAGACCTACTGGGTCAAGTGATACATTAAGGTGAACATATGTATTAATTAATTGTGATTTAATGATATATATGTGTCAGTAAAAACATGTATCAATATATTTATTGAATTAGTGTATACATCAATGAAAGTAAATTTTTAGTGTTATATTATGAGTTATGAGCTAGTTTCAAATATATACAATAAAATAGTTTATAACATATATAGGCATGTTTTATTTACATAAAAAATAGTCAAAAGTCATAGAAATTTAAAGTATATTTGACTATACAATATAGTTTACCAAAAGTTATAGAAAATTTATATTGATTATACAATATAACTTACCTATACATGGGATATATACCGACTATATATATGACACACTCAATGACCCAAAAAGTTGGATATAACTTAACTACACAAGAAGTATAAACTCACTATTCAATCTTGATCAACTCAAAATCACCTCTAAATAATCTCAAAATTTAGATATAAAGTCCTCTCAATATTTTGAGTCTTTTGATATAATTCGCTTAAAACGATGCTCGATTGCGATACATAAGATTTTAAAGAAGAATAATGAGGAGAAGATAAAGATAAAGAAGGACTAAGCAGGAGCAGAAGAAAGAAGTAGCAGTGGAAGAAAAAGAATGAGGAGAAGATATATCACTCTGTTTGTTTTAATTTATATCGCACAAATAGAATTAGGAGAGACAATCACATTTTTGTATAATTTTTAAATATTATAAATTTTTAATTATTGTGATTGATAGTACTCTTAACATAATTTCAAATCACATATGTTACTCACTCCATCCTAATTTAATTATGTGATACATAAGAAATTTTGAAAGTCAACCAATCAATATATATATATATATATATATATATATATATATATATATATATATATATATATATAAAGTTATTAATTATTTTGATATATAGTACTCCTAACGTAATTTTTAAATAACATATCTTACTCTCCATGTCTCAATTTATACGGTACATGTAAAATTTTGAGAGTTCATCAAATTTTTAATATTTTAAGTAGTTAATTATTATAATTTACAGTATTACTTTTTTCGTAATCTTTAAATACATAACATACTAAAAGCAGTAAGATAAATGAATAAAGTACTAAATATAAATAGAAAAAATTGAAGAAAAAAAGGCAAATCGATCAATTGAACCAACTTAAAGTTCCTCAAGATTCTTGTAATACATAACATACTAAAAAAAATATAAAACAAATAAATTAAAACGAAAAAATACTAAGTAAACAGAGGAAACTATAGGAGAAAGAAATATCAATCAATTGACCTGACCCTATATATAAAGTAAAAAGTAAAGTAATATAGTAGTAATACTAGGAAAACATTGGCATGTGACCATAGTCCCAATGGTTCACATGCAAAGTTTAGTTTTTTTGTTTGCTAGCTTTCACCAGTATTACTCACTCATTTCATTCTATATATAACAAACATCACTCTTTGTACCAACATCTTTGCCCTATCTATCACCTTTCCACACTGTAAAAAAAAAAAAAAAGGTATGTGTGTGGGGTGGGGTTTGGGGGAGGGTTGAGGTCCTCCTCCTCTAACATATCAATTTTTTCTTTTCATTGCCATACTTTTCTCATATTTCATCTCAAATCTCTATTAAAGTTTTCGCTATTTGTGGAATTCTGAAAAAAATTGTATCCATCTTTTGTATACAATATATTGATATTGAACAAAATGTTTTATACTAGTAGCGTATTATATGTTAAACCTTTATAGTCAATAATTTATCAATACGTTAATATAATTTCACTTTTCTGTAGTTGATTATCGATGCTTAGTGTTAATTTGTTTATAAGATTACTCGATAGCGTATATATAACTATCTTTTACATGTCAGTTTATAGAAGTTATATAAACTCCAATCAAATATGTGTGTATGCTACCTAGAATATTTCATATACGTGATGTGGTTACAAATTATATATGTAAGAATCTTTACGCTGTCAACCTATATAACTTAAATTCATTTTTGCTTTTGCCATATTATACTAGCAAAACATGGCATGGCCACATTAGACCCCCCCCCCCCCCCCTTTGTTCACGTGACAAGTTTTAGGTTTTTGTTTTCTTTCTCCACCACTCAATACAAGTCATTTTCTTCTATATAACATCATCAATCTTTGCACCAATTTCTTTACCCTATCCTAATTTCCTCCCAACAACCAAAACAAATATACAAATGGAGTCTTCAAAGGCCAAAATAACAACTCTTTTTTTCATCTTCATGTTACTCATTTCTTCACTAACTCCTATTCTTGGTTGTGGTCATTGCAAAAAACACAAGAAAAAGCCCATTATAATTAGTCCACCACCTCCAATAGAGGTACCTACTACTTCTTGCCCAATTGATACTATTAAGCTTGGGGCTTGTGTGGATCTTCTTGGTGGGCTTGTTCATATTGGGCTTGGTAATCCTGTTGTTAATGAATGTTGTCCAATTATTGAAGGGCTTGTGGAAATTGAAGCTGCTGTTTGTCTTTGTACAACTCTTAAGCTTAAGCTTTTGAATCTTAACCTTTATGTCCCTTTGGCACTTCAATTGCTTCTTACTTGTGGAAAGACTCCACCTCCTGGCTACACTTGCTCTTTGTAGATTTTTTAAGTTAACTATGCAATTTCTTGTACTACTTTTTGATGTAGAAATAGCGTTTACTAGCCACTTTTCGGTGTTGTTTTTGAAGAATAGTCATTGTTATAAAACTATGTGTAGATTTTGAGTTAAGGATACAATTTCTTGTACCACTTTTAAGGTAGACATAGTGTTATTTGGCAACTTTTCGGTAATGTCTTTGAAAAATAGTCATTATCGTAAAGCTTTTAATTTGTAGACTTTGAGTTAAGTATGAAATTTCTTGTATCTCTTTTAATGCAGAAATAATGTTAATTGATCACTTTTCGATCTTGTCTTTGAAGAATAGTCCTTGACATAAAGCTCTTTTGTATATTTTTGAGTTAAAGTATGCAATATCTTGTACCTCCTTTATGGTAGAAAACTAGAAACAACGTTTTCTAGCCACTTTCAATCTTGTCTTTTAAAAATAGCCACAATTAAAAAGCAATTTGTAGAATTTTGAGTTAAGTATGCAAAAAATTGTACTCCATTTAAGGTTGAAATAACGTTTTCATAATCACTTTGCAATCTTATCTTTGAAAAATAGTCACTATCATAAAAGTTTTAAATTTTTATCGATAAAACTTCCTAATAATGTTCTAAAGTTTAATTAGGAATTTGAAACTATAGTGACTATTTTTTAATTACATGGACTGAAAAGTGATTATTTGTGAGTTCTAGCCACTTTTATCTATGTAGCTCTAGCTTGCACTATTAGTTAAATTTGGCTCATCTTGTTTTTGGTAAGTCAATGAAATATTTGGAAAATATTGTCAAAAGGAGTTCAATTGTATCCCTTCATCAGGAAAAAGAAGTAAAATGCAAATAGGGTAAAACATTTTTTTTAGTATATAGTTACTTTGTTTTAATTCATATTGCAATTTGACTGGGTACAAAGTTTACGTAAAAAGACAAATTAAAAAATTTATCGTTTTAAAAATGTCATGACTTTTTTAATAATGTTAGTAATACTCTCTCTGTCCAACAATAGTTGTCTATTATTAACTTGATACACCTCTTAAGATACAATAAATAATAGGGATATATTACTATATTGTCCTTTGACTTTATTAAATTTAATGATTTGAAAAATGTGTTAGATAATAAATATTCCCTCCATTTCAAATTAATTGAATTGTTGAGGTGTTTCACACCCTTTAAGAAAAGAAGATTAAGACATAAAGTAAACATAACTTCCATTTTACCCTTATTAATTATTGTCAAATTTATGATTAAAATAACTAAATATTTAAGTAACTAATTCCAATACTAACCAATAAAGGGTAAAATTGGAAGAATATTATAAAAGTAGTCTTGAAAATTGAACAATTAAGTTAATTTGAAAAATAAAAAATGTTTCAACAATTCAATTAATTTGAAATGGATGGAGTAATATTTAATACCAAAGATAAAATAGATACAGAAAATAAATTATCTCTTGATTTTTTAAATTGGATAAGTATTATTCGATATTTATTTTTAATATAATGAAGGACTATTATTGAATCGAAGGAGTAATTAATATGAGATGGAAGGAATAATAATGTTCAATTTTTTAGTACTACTAGAAGTTTTTTGAGAAGTGCTTAAGCTAATATTGGTCATTTATTTTACTTTCCCAACATCAACAAACTTTTATCTTGTGTATTGGTACTAGTGTTAATTTTTGTCTTTTGTAGAACAATAAATAGTTTATGAGAATTAGTTATAGTGTATAGTTTTAGAGTATATATTTTTAAGAAAAAAAAAATTGCCCAGAGAATTTGGTAAAAATGATATTTTTATCCTTTTAATTTTAATATTTTTTAATTAAAAAATGAAAAAAGATCAGTTTAATTTAAAATAAAAAAATATCATAAACTTTTTAAATTTCTGACCAAATTTTCTGATCATTTAGCATTATCCTATATTTAATTGAGTGTTTATCAGAAATTATTTTTCTATCCAATAAAAATAGAAATAAAATTTATATGTCTCGATCTTATTATTCTTAGTTGTGGAACTACACTAATTAATGTGTGACTTTTAAAAAATATTATTGTGGTACTGAGGAATACAATTTTCAAATAGTGTTTTTCAATTCTATTATTTTTTATTGATTATAATATTTTTTAAAATATTATTCTTAGAAAACAAGTTATCTCAAAATGAAAGAATGTTTTTTAGTAAAAGTAGTGAAAATAAATTTAAAATATGTCATTTCAAGTCTATTGTTGACCCTACCCACCCCACCATCCCTCAACTGCCACCCTCGATTCCCCCTCTCTTCATCCGATCTTATTTCTATAATATTCGCAAGTTAATATATAAATAATTTTAAGATAATATTTTTTAAATTTATTTATCAAATATTAAAAAATATTTTTTGTAGAAAATATTTTCCCTTCGTATCAACACACAATCGAATTGACATTACTCTAACAGCGAAATGCCCAACAAAATTGTAATAAGTGGGTTGTGTCCATACGCGAAGTTTGAGGCGCCGTCCACTTGATCATACACAATTTGAAAATACATGTTTATAACATTATCATCAATTTTCAATGACAATGCTCCAAACATTTGTCTTGAATCTTTTTAAACGTGTTTGATTATGTGAGATAAAATTATAATTTGAAATTATGATATATAATTATATAAGATGAAATTAAAGTCAAAAGAGTATATAATTTGAATTTTTGAGTTATATTTTTTTCTCGTAAATATGAAATTTCCATAAATCAAATATTATGAGTATTTTGTTTGGTACACTTTTTCAACTCAAATCATTAGTTATACAATCTATTTTTTAATTATGTTATATATAACTAATATATAGGAAATCATGATACTCCATTGAAGTGGTTTAATTTTAATGCATATATTAGCATGGTTAAAAATATGGTTACTTTTCAAAACTTTTTACATCATTTTTCCATCGAATTTGTGGAGGGTATTTTATAAATTAATATATTTTTATTATAAATTATATCATGTATGTTATTTTCAATACACCAAACAAAACATAACATAAAAAATAATCTCATCATAACTAACATCAATCAGTATATCATATTAAGCACAATTTTAATACATCTTACTAAATATACCGACAAATTTAACACTTTGTTTGGAGGTTTTTTCCACATTGTTTCGTAATGTATAGTTATTATATTGTATTGCGTTGTATTGTATATTGTTTTAACGAATATAGTGTTTGAATAGATTGTATAGTTCTCTGTTATTACGTAATGTCACATATCTATAATCTGAATGATAAACCTTAAAAGGAAAGTAGGGTACGAGGTAGAGCTAGTATGAAAAAGTAAGATAAAAAATGAAATATAAAGACAAAAATGAAAGAAAATATTAAAATAACGATGCGATCACACAAAATTAATTATTATATAAAATTAAATTTAAACTAACAATACAATACGAGAGTGAAAAAATTAGAGCAAGGAGATAGAGAAATGTAGTTGAGAGTCAATAATATATTCATGTTCAATATCTCCCACAAGAACAAAGTGGATTTTTCAAATTCCAAGTTCAACGAAAACGAACCTCACAGTCCACAATTCATCGCCGTCCAATCCATTTTTATCTTTCACCATTAAAGCACACCTTTTCTGTATCTCATCATCCTAAAAACTCACTCTTCTTTCTTCTCAGTTCTACAGATCCTCCTTCAACAACAATGGCTAAAACGACATCGTCTTCAGCTGAAGATGGAAACAATCCCCTTTTCTCTCCTTACAAGATGGGAAAGTTCAATCTCTCCCACAGGTCAGTTTTCCTTCACAGTTCATTATATATTTGAATCGAAGATTTAGTAGATTTGGATCTCAAAATTTACTCTCGTACTTTTTTTTATGGGTTTTTCTTAACAAGAATCCAAAAGGGTATTTACTATTTACATACTGTTAAGATCATTTTTATAAATCTGAAAAACAATAAGCAACTTCCATTATAAGATCCTGAAAAAATTTACTGATTTTGCTAGTTTTTTTTTTTTTTTGTATACAGAATCGAAAAAAGTTATATCTATTGGATCATATAATAACAATTGGTCCATGCAAACTCAAAAAATGGAAGTGAATTATTTTTGTGACGATTTTACCCTTGAGATGGGATCATATTTACAGTCGCGTTGCTCGAACATCCTTCACCTCCGATCTTAAGTTTGTGAATGGAGGAACAAAAATAATAATAATAATAATAATTTACTGTTGTTTGACACGTGGCAGGATAGTATTGGCTCCGATGACAAGGTGCAGAGCACTGAATAATCTTCCACAGGCGGCGCTAGGGGAGTATTACGAGCAGAGAGCGACGGCCGGTGGATTTCTGATCACTGAAGGCACTATGATTTCCCCGACTTCAGCTGGGTATGTGTTTGAAAATTTGATTACATTTTAGGGGCTTTTTCGGTAAGACAGTAGTCAATTACTGCTGCGTTTGGGCCCCACGCTATACCATTAAAAAAGTTGTGTCTTTACACGTGTATAGTCATTAATTAATTTATTAGTGGAATTTTGTGGTGTGTGGTATTTTTCCACTCCCGTATACTCCCCTCCATTCCATTTTATTTTTTTTACGTAACTTTACCCTTCTATCTTTATTTAATATTTTTGAAACTCAAGTTTTCAATCAATGAATATAAATTAATTTATTTTGATTAAATAATTTGAATAATGAACATGAATCATTTACTTAGTTTTTTTAAATTAGTCAAATATATATTTTTAAAGGTAATAACTTACAGGGGTAAAAAAGGAACAATATGATAATTCATGCATTGATTTTATGAAATGACAAGTATTATGGACCAATTACTTGTAGAAAGAGATGTCATATAAAAAGAAATAAAGAAAGTATTATATTCATTGAATTCAATATTTGAAGTTTATGCACGTTTAAAGTAATTTTAAATTTATTTATAATACTAATTAAATATTTATATGCTCAGTGAAATTTTAAAATTATAATAAATACGCAAGTTATGTGCAAAAGTTTTTGGGTTTACCTTGAATCCGTACCTAAATTTTGAATTTGCCTAATTATGTGGCCGTGGTTAATTGGACGTAGAATTTAATAAAATGATCAATACTTTTAAAATTATTGGGTTAAATCAAGTTATACATATTTATGTGAATATAAAAAAAAAATTTAAAAATAAAATGAAAAAGTTAAAAGTTAAAGCATACTTGGACCAAATGTTTTTACCTAAGCCAACAATAACAATAATAATGTATTTAGTGTGATTCTACGAGTAGTGTCCGAAGGAACTAATAAGAACAAGGGGAAGGTGAGAGGCAAGAGGCCAACTCCGATGATACTTGGCTATCTACTAACCTTCTACTTTAATTCTTGACCTTCAAATCATCTGTCTACTAATTTTCTACTTTAATTCTTGACCTTCAAATCATTTGTCTAGGGTCATGTCCTTGCTATGCAAATGTGTTATGTTTTTATCTAATCACGTTTTTCTAAACTCTTTTTCACCTTACCTCTACCTCTCCTAATTCTTGCTAAACCAATCTTTCACATCTCTTTAATGGTGCATCCGCGCCCCTCCTCTTCATATGTCCCAACCATCTCAATCTTGCTTTCCTCATTTTGTCCACCGTAGAAATCACATTCACTCCCACCTTGCCCCGTATAAATTCATTCCTAATGTAAGATATATTTCTCATATACATCTTTTAACACTTAAACATGATATGTATTTTCACTTTATTTTGTTAATTTTTAAGATTAATTGCTTAGTTCGATGCAAACACCCCATGCAAGTATGTATTTACCTCCAAAAGAATCATTATCAAATTAGTTTCTTGAGAATTTCTTTCTGAGATATCATTGTGGTGGGGTTTTTCAGGTTTCCTCATGTGCCAGGGATTTTCACAAAGGAGCAAGTAGAGGAATGGAAGAAAATAGTTGATGTAGTGCATGCAAAGGGTGCTGTCATATTTTGTCAGCTGTGGCATGTTGGTCGTGCATCTCATGAAGGTAAAAGTTGTTACGTTTACACTAAGTTAGGATCATGAATGCTCAATACTGTCTAGATGCATTGTAACTAGTTCGACATCTGTATTGGTGGGAGGTAGAAGGTACTCAGTGAAATAATCGAGGTATGTGCAAGCTAATTTAGACATCATTATTATAAAGAAAAATATTGGCTAGGTGTATTTGCAAGAGCTAGAAGATACTAAGTGAAATAGTCGAGGTGTGAAGTTAGTTTGGACACCACCATTATAATGAAAAATGTTTTCTAGATGCGTTGGTGGGAGGCAGAAGAATACTCAATGAAATAGTCAAGGTGTGCGGTAACTAGTCTAGACACTACTATTATAAAGAAAAATGTTGTCTAGATGCATTGATGGGAGGTAGAAAGTACTTGATGAAATAATCGAGATGTGTGCAAGCTAGTCCAATCAACAGTTCAACACTATTCTAAAGAGAAATAGGCTAAATACATTGGTGGGAGGTAAGAAGTATCTAGTAAAATAGACAAGTTGTGTGCAAGTTAGTCCTTATATCATATATCTTATGAAGAAATTTTTTTTCCACATGCATTGCTTTTTCTCTCATTTTATTCTCTTTATCTATCAAAGGCCAACTTTTGCAACTGTTCCCTCATTAGGAAAATGCGATACTGCATGTTCATTCCTCTCTTTATCTCTATTTCTCTTTGACAGTTCAAACTATGTTGCTCAGACTCTTCAAAAATGTTGTTGCACTTGCACCCATGCATGTTGGATCCTCCAAAAACCCGCATCAGTCAACCTTTTTTTAAGAGTTCGAGCAACATAGGTTTCAAATTAGTTATCTTACTAAGCTCATGCTTATCACTTCATTAGTGTATCAACCTGCTGGAGCTGCACCAATTTCATCTACTGAGAAGCCTATATCAAAGAGGTGGAGAATTCTGATGCCTGATGGAACTCATGGGATTTATCCAAAACCAAGAGCAATTGGAACCTATGAGATCTCACAAGTGGTTGAAGATTATCGCAGGTCGGCCTTGAATGCTATTGAAGCAGGTTAGCTCATTCTTTATGTTAATCATGTACTAATAGACATCTCTGTTTGAAATCCTATGACATCTTTTTCATTGTGTAAGTATTCAAGTTCATACTGTTGAGTTATTTCTGCTCATAAAAAGGTTAACCAGAACGGAACCTTCATTTCATCCTCTAAAGGGTCGTTCAGTAGAACGTTTAAGAATAGTACTGAATAGGCCAATGTATTAGTAATGTTGACATTACTTATGCTAGGATTATTTCTTATTTGGTGTATTAAGGACAGTTTTGTCTTTAACCATGCTTATCCATGTACTAATAATAACCCTCTTATTGCTAATACCATGGTTTGCTATGTATTTTACTTATACACACTATAATACTGAATAGAAGCTTAGAAAAAGTCATCAGCAGGCCGTCATGGTAAAATAGAGTTTTTATTCTGGTAGATACCGTTTATTGCTAATTCGTTTTCACTCTCTTTGGTTCGTTATGCTGTGTTAGTCTTAACACCAGAAAATATCATATATATACAGGTTTCGATGGTATTGAAATCCATGGAGCTCACGGTTACTTGATTGACCAATTCTTGAAAGATGGGATCAATGACCGGACAGATGAGTATGGTGGATCACTAGCCAACCGGTGCAAATTCATCACACAGGTGGTTCAAGCAGTCGTCTCAGCAATAGGAGCTGATCGTGTAGGCGTTAGAGTTTCACCAGCAATAGATCATCTTGATGCCATGGACTCTAATCCACTCAGCCTAGGCTTAGCAGTTGTTGAAAGACTAAACAAAATCCAACTCCATTCTGGTTCCAAGCTTGCCTATCTTCATGTAACACAGCCACGATACGTAGCATATGGGCAAACCGAAGCAGGCAGACTTGGCAGTGAAGAGGAGGAGGCGCATTTAATGAGGACTTTGAGGAACGCGTATCAGGGGACATTCATTTGCAGTGGTGGATACACTAGGGAGCTAGGAATTGAGGCTGTGGCACAAGGTGATGCTGATCTCGTGTCATATGGACGCCTTTTCATCTCTAATCCTGATTTGGTTATGAGAATCAAGCTAAATGCACCTCTAAATAAGTATAACAGGAAAACATTCTATACTCAAGATCCAATTGTGGGATACACAGATTACCCTTTCCTTCAAGGAAATGGAAGCAATGGACCGTTATCGCGTCTGTGAAAAGAACAGTTGTATTTTGTAAGAACTTGTGAAGCCTGATTTTGTTGGGCAATTTATTTACTTGGTAAAGTATGTATTTTTAAGTTGTATATGCATCTATGTGAGGGATGTTTTCTTTTAGAGCCTAGTACCAGCCATGCCTCCTCGACTTGCTAACAAGAGTCGGTTATGGAATAGTCTTTTAGTCAGCTTTCTCGTTCTTTAAGGACTTTCTGGTGAATTTCAGGAAGAAATTTGTACTGTTAAAAACATTAGGATTTATCATTTATGAGAGTGCTCTAAAATTACCAATTTCTTAAGCATTGGAATATTGTTCCTATCTTCTCCTTTAGTTCTTTGGTCCTTTGTGACTTTTATATTCTGTTTTTGCATTGACAGAACTTTAGGGGTGTCACACTATCTCCTATTTATGCTCCAAGTGATACTAAAATTCTTCTAAGATATCATAACTAGCTCGATCGATTGTCAAAAATTTATACTTTTAGAGACTTAAATAAATAATTTTGTGGGATCAAGAAAATAACAAGGTGTTGTGTGAAGATTAGCAAGGATGGTGATAAATAAGACAATGAAGAGAAACATACCAAAAGAGACATAATAATTTGGTAAAATTAACCTACATATAATCAATTCACTAATATAAGAGCTCATAAAGACCCGTAACCTTTTCTCCAAGAAAAGAATTTGTCAAATATGAAAGAAAGTTATAATTATTATTTTTTAACAAAAAAAAAACAATTATTATAATGCTCTGTGCTTCCTTAAAGAAAAAGGAAAATTCAAATATAGTAAAATAAAATAAAATAAGAAAATTAGGGTAAACATCTAGCCCCAAAAAGGTACCACAAAGTTCGAAGCCTTCGTTTCACCAATGCCTTTTGAACTAATTTTATGCAAATTATTACTATTAAATTAAAAGTATGTAACAATGGATCAGAAGAATGTGGTGTATTGAATAGAGTTGCTTCTTCTTTAACTAGAAATCTCAATTTCGAAATTTAAGAAAAATAGAAAATGCTATATCCTATCCGTTAACTAATAACTAAAAATATGCTATTGGAGAAGCAAAGGTAATTAACTACAAACATAATAAACTTTTATTAAAAGAAAACAACTTTATTAAACTTAAAAGAACATAATCAAAACAACACAAATACTAGTGCATAAAAATAACAACAATAAATTAAAACTATAACATCTAATCAAAAAGACTAAAATTAAAATCTTCTTCATCAGACTCTTCCACTTTCTCAACTTTCTTTTCCTCTTTTTTCTCTTCAACAACTTGTCCACCAACACTGGCATTATTAGTATTATTATTATTTGTACATCCAAAAGACATACAAGTAGTAGAAGCCAATCTTTGTTTACCAGCAGCAATTAACTCATTAATATCTTTGCCTTCAACTTGTGACAATAATAGTTCAATTTTCATATCATCAATTTCAGCACCAACAGAATTCAAGATTTTTTTCAAATCATTAGAAGATGGATTAGAGTTGCCACCTAATTGAGACAACAAATAAGCTGCTATCACCTTCATGATGTCTAGTTATAAGTTTTAATAAAATTCTTGATAATTGAGAAGTTTTTTTTGTTTTTTTGGAACTATGAGAAATATGTGTCCTTCTAAAGGGTATATATAGGCAGATAGTTGTAGGAAGTCTAATTTGAGTTAAAATAGATTTAGACGTAATTAAGAGTACCATATTTTAGTTGGATGTATGAAATAGCTAGGATTCCTACTACTAATAGGATTGGAAAAAAAAAGAAGGAAAATCTTAAAATCCAACACGTACAAAGTAGTACATATGATTCCAACTACTATTAGAACTAGCAGAGAAACATTGACTTCACTTTGTGGAACTACACTGAGAATGTTGTAATTGAATTAAGGATTTATTGAAACTAATTTCTCTACCTTCTCACGCTAGAGATAAAATCTGCGTATATTCTATCCTTCTCAGACTTCACTTTGTGGGACTTTACTGAGAATGTTGTTGTTGGTGACTTGTGGTGATTTATGTATTATTATGTCTAAATGGAAGCAATGTACCGTTATCGCGTTGGTGAGAAGAATAGTTAAGTATGTATTCTTAAGTTGTATATGCATCTATGAGAGGGATGAGCTCGTTTAGAGCCTAGGCTCCTCGACTCACTAACAAGAGTCAGTTATGAAATAGTCTTTTAGTCGGCTTTCTCGTTCTTAAGGAATTTCTGTTGATGAAGGTATATATTTTAGAGAAATTTGTACTATTAAAACAATAGGCTTTATCATTAATGAGAATGCTCTAAAATTACCATTCTTGTTAAAACATTGGAATATTGCTCTTATCTTCTCCTTTAGTTCTTTGGTCCTTTGTTACTTTTATACTATACTAGATACTAGACCGTGCTAGCACGGGACCAACATCATCGTATCTTTTTATTTTAATTTATGTATATATGTACAATTTAGAAAATTGAATAAATTTAATATGTCTTTTAGATATATAAGTGGTTAATTACTTTTTGTTTGCGTAAATTTATTGTGAAGAGGTCCATTAAGATATTTATAATTAAAGTATTTTTCGTCGTTGACCGTTAATTTTTTTACTCAAAGTAGTTACAAGATATAACAAATATTACCGATATTCAAAATAATAAAGCAATAACTATAGAATATGAATTTAAAACTAAAAGTCATAGCTAAAATGGATTTCATAAGTTCGAAAATATTATACACTAATTAAATTAAAGTAGAACGAAAGCAATACTAATTTTTAATATTTTTTTTTACGTGTCTGCTTCAGCGTGAAGTCTTGAATTTAAAACTAAAAGTCATAGCTAAAACGGATTCCATAATTTTGAAAAAATTATACACTAATTAAATTAAAGTAAAACAAAAGCAATACTAATTTTTAATATTTTTTTTACGTGTCTGCTTCAGCGTGAAGTCTTGAATTTAAAACTAAAAGTCATAGCTAAAATGGATTCCATAATTTTGAAAAAATTATACACTAATTAAATTAAAGTAGAACAAAAGAAATAAAATTTTAAACCGTATCAAATTAAAGTAGAACAAAAGAAATAATTTGTTTAATTTCTTTTCCAAAAGGACGCTGAAGCAAGCATGTCAACGGAGACGTGCCTGCTTCAGCATTAACTATCTCTTATATAATAAGAGAATATATGATGTTTTTGCCTTGAAAGAACTCAATGATTTTACGACATGACGATGATTAAAGTAAATGATTCCATTGTTTTTATTAGGAATAATACATAAATTGTCCTCTAAACTTGTCTAAAAAAATCAGACACTCACTCTAAACTTTAGGAGTGTCCCATTATCCCTAATTTATGCTCAAAGTGATACTAAAATCCCTCTAAGATAACGCAACTAGCTCGATCGATTGTTAGAGTTTTTCGAGACTTAAAATAAGTAACTTTGTGGGATCAAGAAATTAGGGCAAACACTTAACCCCAAAAAGGTATCACAAGGTTCCAAGCCCTTCGTTTCACTAAAGATTTTTAGAATTAATTTTACGAAACTCTTACTTTTAAATTAGAAGCATGTAACAATGGAAGAATGTGGTATATTGAATAGGGTTGCTATTTTTAAAAAAATAGAAATCACAATTTCGAGACTTGAATAGAGAAAAATAAAGAATACTACGTGTCCTATCCGTCGCGTATACTTGACAACTTTCATCTTTGGTAAAAATTACTAAAAATATACTATTGATATTGAAGAAGCAAAGATAATTAACTACAAACATACTAAACCTGTATTAAAAGAAAACAACAAAACTTTAAACCTAAAAGAACATAATCAAAACAATACTCCATAAAAATAACAATAAAAAATCAAACTAAAAACTTCTAATCAAAGAGACTAAAATTAAAATCTTCTTCATCAGACTCTTCCACTTTCTCAACCTTCTTTTCCTCTTTTTTCTCTTCAACAACATCAATAACTTGTTCACCAGCACTGGCATTATTATTATTATTATTTGTACATCCAAAAGACATACAAGTAGTAGAAGCCAATCTTTGTTTACCAGCAGCAATTAACTCATTAATAACTTTGCCTTCAACTTGTGACAATAATAGTTCAATTTTCACATCATCAATTTCAGCACCAACAGAATTCAAAATTTTCTTCAAATCATTAGCTGATGGGTTAGAATTTCCACCCAATTGAGCCAACAAATAAGCTGCTATCACCTTCATGATGTCTTAGTTAAAAGTTTAAAGATACTTCAAAATTGAGAATTTTGTTTTGTTTTTGGAACTATGAGAAATATTTGTGTTTCTAAAGGGTATATATAGGCAATATGGTGAGGGGGTTTGTTGTAGGAAGTCTAATTTGAGTTTAAAAAGGTAGACGTAATTATGACCATATTTTAGTTGGATTTATGGAATATTATTCCTACTATATATAATAGGATTGGGAAAAAAAGAAGGAAAATCTGAAATCCAATGCGTACAAGGAAATACCTATGATTCCAACTACTATTAGAACTAGTAGAGAAACATCGACTCAAGTATTATAATTAATTGGTGATATTAGAAAATAGTATTTTTCTTGGAGTTCCTTGTCCTCCGATTTCTGTTACTATCTACTATCTTTGTACTTCAATTATCACACTATTTTCTTGCAGTTATTTGTTCCTTTTCTTCTTCAGAATCCCTCACTTTTCTTAGTAGCATCTCTTTTCCTTGAGTCAGAGTCTATTTTCAATAGTCTCTCCACCTTCTCAAGGTAGGGATAAAGTTTGCGTATACTCTAACCTTTCCAAACTCCATTGAAAATGTTGTAAATTTTCCTTAAGTCGAGGATCTCTCTAAAATAATTTCTCTACCTTTTCACGCTTAGGATAAAATCTGCATATACTACCCTTTCCAGACTTCACTGAGACTGTTGGTGGTGGTGGTGTGAAACTAGGAAAGGAAGAAAAGAAACAAAAAAACACAGTTGAAACGTTAAGAAATGTATACTATATCTATGTGTGATGTATACTATATTCAGATAGCACAAATACAGCAATTTCTGCTGCCCCAGTCCAAACCCTTCAACGATCGCTCTCATCGTCCTTGGGTTTTAACTTGGGAAAACTACACAACATAGCAAAACATGTGCTATATATTTACGAAACACAGCTATAGTTTAAATATATTTACCATTCGAAACCACCTTTTCGAATGTATAGATAGCAACTTGAAAAAATTAAGACAAATAATCTGCGGCTGTAATAATGAAAAAGCCCATAAGTTGGGAATTAAAATGACTTTATGAAAGAAATTATAAGTTCATGGTTCATCTTTCATAGGAGTTCATAAAACCTCTATATATCTCTAAAGGGGAACTAGACTGGGTCTCTCTGTATGAAAAATACACCTCGAATCTTTTAAAGATGGGCATGTATCTGCAATAACCAAACTAATCTCAGCCACAACACCACCACCCCCCATCACTTCCTGAAACCTAAACCAGCAAATCATAGACATTTGAAAAACAAAAAAACGAAAAACTTGTTCCTGAATTGAGCTATATATATGGTACATAAACTCTATCAAGGGATTCCTGAACTACCTGCCTGCTAACTCATTACTGAAAGGTGGGCTAGATATGAATCATCATGACGAACCACTTAAAGTCGGACTGCCTGGTAGGAACCTAATACGACTACACTGTTTCAACTTTGTGAGAGCTTCTTGTGTCTTCCCACACAGAAGATCCACGTATACTGCAGTAAGAATAGCTTCAGGACGTTGAGGTTTTATCAAAAGTGCTTGTACCACATAAGTTTGGGCCTGTTCAATGTCTCCTTGCATAGCAGACATGGCAGCTAAGTTTGCAAAGAGAATTCCGCGGGCCTCTTCCGGCTTAACAAACACAAATGCTTGAGATTCCTCCGAAGGAAAGGAGTTCACAGCAGCTGATCCAACATTAGTATCTTCCGATTCCAATGTTTTCTCCTGTTTCCACATTTCAGAATCCTCTTCACTAAAGGGCAGATCAACATCCTTGCCACTGGAGATATAGGTTGACAAATGCTCTGCAGCTTCCTTTGCCCGGTTCAGCAAGCATAGAGCTTCAGCAGCATACACATTACCAAGAAAGATGTATATTCTAGAACATTCTTGGACTTTCAAGAGAGATCGTGCAATTGTAAGAGCCTTCAATGGATTTCCCAATTCCAGCTCTACAAAAGCCAAATCAGTCAATGCAGCTTGCTCAATCATCAGATTCTCTTTTCTACATGTGGCTTCATACTCACCGAGAGAATTCAAGAAGGAGGCATTTTGACTGTTTGCACCCTTTTGCTCTTTCACCTCCCCATTTGCATTAACCTGACCAGATGCTGGCACGTTCAGTGACTTAGGGTCAGTTGATCCATTCTTGGATGGTACTGCTTCTCTTGTTTCACTTTCTTCCAGACCAGAAGCATGAGACTGTGTGGACTTGTTACCTTTTGATTCAGAACTGGTCAATAAATGCAAAGCATTCAGAAGACACTGACGAGCAAGTAGTACCGATAACTTCGGTTGTCTTCCCTTAGTAGCCAAATCTTCCTTACCTGAAAAACTTTCTTGTCCATTTCTTGATATTCCATCTTCCATAACAAGTTGCCTCCATTTTCCTTGTCCAACAACATGAACTTTAACTTCAGACCTGTCAGAAGTAGCAACACCACTGGACTTGAGCAGTCCCTGCTCAAGAGCCATTAGACAACATTCTGCAACTCGTAACCATAAAAGAGGCCTATTGTGGAAAACCTGACTAGCCTTATAGAAACAGCCTGCCGCCAGCAATGGTTTCCCACAAGCCAGGTACTGCATACCACAGTTATAGGTTATGAGAAGAGACTTATCCTGTGAGATGGTTGAGAGCTTTAAAGGTCGCTCTTTCCGGAGAGATGAACTATTATTCAGAGCCTTGGCAAAAAATACAGAAGAAGTGTGATGCTTGCCAAGTCGATAATATATGCAACCCAGGTTGTTGTAGTATAAGCTAGAAATTCCCGTTTCTGCCCGATTACTTGATGCCATCAAGAGCTTGATTGCTTTTCGGTGATTCCCACGAGTATATTCAAGCTGGGACTTCAAATAGAGAGCCATAGAATGATCTTTACCCCGTGCTGTGTTCATAGCCATCTTAACTTCACGCTTAGCTGCCTTAAGATTCCTGGTGAGGAGAAGAAATTGGACCTTGCAAAGGTGCAGTTTAATCCTCATTTCAGCAGTTGAGATAAATTCATCAGCTTGGTTCCTTGTTGGATCATTTGAAGATTTCAAGCCAGACTGTCGTGGTAGGTTCTGCCCACCAATCTCCATGGATGATATTAAATGCAGATCTTCAAGTCCCTCTTCTGATAATGTCCTAGACAAAGAGCCTTCGGAGGTTATCCCAGCAGCAGGTGAATCTGGAGTAGATGCATCAGGAATACTTGAATTGCTGGGAAATGAAGCCGATTTCAAAACGGCTGAAGCTGTTGGCAGTGCAGAGTTTCCGTTGTCAACTTGACTCAATAAACTACTGCTACAAAAGACCTTCTCCACGTAGCTGATCACATCCTGGGAGCAAGAATCATAATTAAACTGTTTGCAACAAAGATTTTTAAAAAAAGTTCGCTACATAAAAAGGGAAAGAAGCAATATACTAGACCTAGAAAACAAACATGAGACTCCAACACAGATTCCACCATCTTAGGAAAAGTACGGCAAAATTTCAACAATGGAACAAAAACCAAAAACAACTATCCTTCATGAAATCAGCAATCTCAATTATCTATAGAAATAATAAAACGACAAATGGAGCATTAACCACAATAATCAACCTTTTAAATAGAACAATAATGACAGAACTCTTAAGGATTTTCTTCTGTGCTGGCATAGAAAGGGTTTGAACAAGTAGTTAAAGAAGACTTTGTATCCAATTCCTGTTTGCATTTGGTGGTGCACATGGAAAGAAAGAAAGAAACAAAATGTGTTTTGAAGATGAACAGAACTCTGTGCTGAAAGTAAAATCTGATCGTTTTATGCTATCTTTTTGCTGCAGATTAGATTGGGCAAATGAAGCTTAAACACTGTTACAGTTCATAGAATCTTTTGTCCAGGCAGTCAGATCTTTTCTGTTATTCTCTCTCCAGTAATCTTTTGGATGTAACAATAGCACCTTCTTACTGCTGACATCAATACTACTTACCTTTAAATAAAAGAACTAGATTAACAATGACTAACTAGTCTCAACCCATTAAAGGCAGCACACTAGCTCATTTCAAAAACTACTGCAACAGCTGCAAGAAGGTACATGACAAAACTACTGATATTAAACCATCCATCACAAACATCAAAGCCTGCAATATTTCATATAAATGTGTTAAACCAAAACTCAAAGTTCACCACCTTGCAATATTTTATATAAGTGTGTTAAACCATAATTCTAAGTTCACCACGTTACAATTCCCCTAGCATCACTCACTCAGAACAATATCAGAATGAAGTTATCAAAAGGAAGAAAACAGATACAGCAATTACAAATGGTATCCCAGTAGAAATGATACTAGGTGAATTGATTCCATGTATCGTAGGTTAGAGACAGAGGCATCAACGCCATTGTCATTACAAAACGAAATAGAGTAGAGCAAGTGTAAATGGCAATCTCTCACAAGGGTATCAGATCTTGGTTTTTTAAATTGTTATTGGGAATCTCAAAGTAACATCAGCTGCTTCGGTGAGTGAACTCACTCAATACAAACTTTGGGAAGCAATTCTTAAACTTTAGATGTCGCATCTTTATGATCATTGGAAATCACAACATCAATGTTTCTAACATTGACCAAAATGGGAAAGACCAGTGTGACATCAGAAACTTTTGATTGTTGCATTATGCTTTTATAAGAGACTAGGAGTGTTTATTGACTATCGCATCAAATGTACTACTCTTATTAATGGTGTTCACAAATTAATCATTTCAATCATGTGAATTGAATTTAGAAAAGGTATTTAAGAGATTTGACATTACTACTTCTCATTATTCAAATAGTTATTTTATAGATTCTTTATCATTTGGTATATTCCTTGTATATGGGCAGTTTGGCCATGTTTATGAATGAGAATAGATTTACTTGATCAACTACTTTTTATTCAAATAAATTTTCTTGTCATCCAAATATGTTACTATTAGATCCATATTATCTCTTATGACACAACTGAAAAAAGAAAAGAGAAACCCAAACCAAGTTTCTTTTGGTTTGGATTGGTAC